ATGTGCAGCGTGCATTCTTGACAGGTTTTGAAAACTGAAACAGTACAACTGAAAGTTAATGACATACTGATATTACTAGCCTGAAAGTTTTAAAGTACTTATAATAATGAGCGTTTCTTAGCCTTGTCATTGACAAATGTAGTACGCTGGCCTGAAAACTCTAGGAGAGTAATTGCCTCTGAATGCTTGGAATGCTAATACACAATCAAGCAGTAAACATGCACACAGATTTCTAGCAACAGAACAGTGCATCTCTCTCTCTCTCTCTCTCTCTCTCTCTCTCTCTCTCTCTGTCTGTCTCTCTCTCTCTCTCTCTCTCTCTCTCTCTCTGAGCTCTGCAGTGCTCAGCCATGTCCTTAGATACTTCTTCACAGTCAGGGGGATTTACAGATGTGGATTTGAGGTTGATGGGAAGGGGAGTGCAGCTGGAGTCACAGTGGAGCTTGATGTTTTAGTAATACAGCATCAATTGTGTATGAACGCTGCACATCGTACAGAGTCACCTCACATCAACTCTCCTGTTTGTGTTCCTAAATCACAACTCAATCTTCTGGCTTAAGACCGCTGTACACCTCTGACCTACTTGAACTGCTCCGGGTTTGCTTTCAGCGCTCTGTGACATTAGAATCTACGCTAATCTGAGATGAAATGAAGCACCTACTATTGTCACAGTGCCATGCAGGAGCTAATCAGAAGCTAATCACATTTCCGTGAAGTGGTCTTGATTAAATTAGCACAGGGTGAATGGAAAAGATGCACAGAAAGCTACTAGCTATCCATCTGTGTGGACACAGCTTTCGGAAGACTGCCAATTAGTCCCATCTCACTGACCTCTGTCTTTTTCCCAGTGTACACTTTTTAGCCAGTTTAATAATCAGTTAAATACAGGGGGTTTGTGCTGTTTAATAAACTAGGCTAAGGAAAAAGGAGGGGGAAAGAGAGGTTTCACTTGCTTGCAGTTGGCACACGATTCTTAGACAAAGTTATTCCAGATTTGTTTACTTGTGCACAGTGTGTTGGTACATACACACAGAGGTATTTCCTGATAGTGTCACATTTGTAATACAGCATTTCTCATAACCTGGACTGATAACACAGTTATGCATCACCTTTACCACATTTGTAGAAAAATATACAGACATCATACCAAGAAATTCACTTGAAGTGCAGCATATCTAAGACAGGATCTCAAGATGGTAAGCAGTCAAGCAGGGCTGTCATGATTAATCAAATTTAAAAGGCCATCAATTAAGATTTAAATCTTCTAGATCAAACAGCAATGATAGTAGTTGGCAGTATGCGTGATAATAATGTGTATTTAAAACTCTCCTGCTGGTCTCTTTGGTTCATTTTGCTTTTTAATAAAGCCTTATTTAAATATTATGAGAAAACAACATCATAGACAATTATTTTGAAGTTATCCGGGATCCTGCCCGATCTGGCAACCCTAAATAAAACAGCACTGAGCAAGGCAGGAAAGCAGAGCAAACAGCATCTTTTTAACTGTTGACATAAAAATGCAAACAACTAATGTAAACACCTTGTTGGTCAAGTGTTGGTTAGTAAAAAGGGGAGTAATGAAGGTTTTTAAGCTGCTCAAGACCACTTTATACTGGAGCTTGTGCTAAACACAGTTGTACTGCCTGGTGCGGTCTGAATAATTTTCATACAGCTCTGGAAAGCTAGCTAGCCACACTCTCATTCATTCTCTGTAATAAATGCAACTGAGAATTTACTAGTTAGTAATCTGGAATAGCAGGAAATGTATTTGGGCTTCACCTGGAATTAAAGGGGACTTCCACCAGTTTCTTAACATTTCAGTATTATTAAACAGTTAAGATTTAAATAGAGTCTTTTAGATTGGATTGATATGAATGCTCCATTTTAGAGAAACTTACTGAGTCAGAATTGTCTGGAGTGGTGGTGATAGGAACCAGACATCTGAAAAAAGTTTAAAAGTTTAATGCCTCTAAAAGCTATTTCACAGAAAATTATAGTATGACATGGTTATAAATACACTGCATGATTCCTGAGACGTTGGCTGTGTTCGAAATACCCTGCTACATACTGCTCACGTACTGATTGTGCCCAAAAGTAGTAAGTAGTATGTAGTATGTGACCAACATGAATTTCTTCAGTATGCCAAAGACACTCAGATGATGTACAGCTTAGGCCAAATATTCCAGTATGCAGCCAGAGCTATCCTCATGATATACTGTGTGCCAAAATGCAATATGATCATTTCAGGAGGACATAACCACTGATGTAACTGCTTCGATATTCTTAATAGCCTTGGATTCAGCCTTTTAATGCATTAATAATAGCGAAACGAAAGAAATTTGTCCAATTGCTGCTACACTCAGTGCAACGCTGAAGCCACACTAGCTCTCTCTTCTGTTTTTGAGGTGGGTTTGCTTACTTCATCCATATTAAAATTACTGTATAGATAATGTGGTTATAATAGTAGTTCACTTACTAAACTTGGTCTCAACAAAACAATCCACACAGCATCGGCTTTTCAGGCTCATGTGGAGTCACGCTGCTTATTATTCGCTCAAACTAGCTCTACCTACCTTCAACTTACCTACAACTATAATAACAACTATAATAAACTACAACTGTAATAAAAATGAAATGACTCACTTTTTACCAAACAGAAGAAAACAGGTGTTTTGGAAATCACACAGGTTTACCACACAAACAAACCCAAAGCTGATGTTTTCAGTTTATTTTTGGCTTTGGAACTAGGTAAAAACAACATCCTGCCCTCTGTCATTGTATTAGGTGTCTTTTAAAAGTCAAACAGGCAACTCTCTTGACCAATATATGAATGTCCACACTGAAAAACAGCAAGCACTAGTACTAAGCACTAATGGGCGCACTAAGTAAAATGAAGTTGGTGTTGAGATGGTCTGATTGGCTCAGTCGTGAAAAATGTATTTTTTTTTTAAATCTATTCATGATGGATGCAAAATAGTCCGCAAAGATTTTTTTTTTCAGATTTGCCACTGTTTTATCAATAATACATATAAGACAAGGTTTTGGCCTAAAATAGTTTTTTTTTAATCCATTCATGATGGAGAGGTACAAGCAGGGCATTGTAAGAAAAATAGTCCCCAAAGATTTCTTTTTTCAGATTTGCCACTGTTTTATCAATACTACATACAAAAACTCATATGAAGGTTCACTGGTTGTTTTGGATAGGAAATAAAATGGCTACATTTGTGTTGTAGTTCTCCTGACCCATGGTTCCAATAACCACCACTGCAAAGAAATCATAAAGTAGTCGGCACATTTCTTTACAACTGACCATGACTTTACGAACAACCTAACCAGTGAAGTATGCAAACATTTTGAAAAATCAGTGGAATTCCCCTTTAAGACCAATTCTGTTATCCCGAATTGCAACAGTCTCACAAACTGTACCAAATCACAGAGCTGGCATTTGAGGACTACTGGTGAAAAGCAAGTATTTACCCCCACAGAAGGGTGTGGGTTCATAAAAGTGGCAAATGTCAATTATTTCAATGACTTCCTGTTTTCATATATTTTAATTATCGGCCTTATCAAACATTACTGAATATCTGTTGCAGCCCTAGCTCAATTAAATCCATGTTTGTTATCCAACATCTTAAAAAACTCCTGATTTTTTGATTAATGGTCAAAATAATCAGTAGTTTACTTGATTACTAATGTAATTGAGGGTCAAACAGATCAAACCGCTGTTAGGTATCACACTGAGGAAAGAGCACCAGTGCACCAACATGTTGTAGAAGGTTCTGTTCCTGTTAAACAAATGCTATGTTGTGGTAGACTCACACAGGGGATGCTGCTCAGGACACTGGACTCTATTTGTAACTATACTGCAGGAGAACTCTTTCTTTATTAAAAAAGAAATCTTGCCAGGGATGGCTGAGATCAATATCTCCCAGATTTCCTGGATATTTCTCAATAAAGGGGCTTCGGTTACAGTCTGTGCTAACATGCTGTGCCTAGAATGCATTATCATAAGACAAAGGCAGAGATGGATGGTGGGTGAATGAAGTTAAAACACTGCAGCTCATGTTGTACCAGTTTATTTTCTTGCCTTAGAAAGACAAATTCGCAGTCAGTACTTGTTAAATATCTACATGCTTGCAGAACCATTTGAGCATTTCTCTGTACACGTGAACGCAGATGGTGTGGGCTTTTGCCTTTAAGCTTTCAAGTCAGCTTTTTGTCAGCTGGGGTTTTGAAGGAGAGAGTTAATTGTATGTTTTTTTATATAAAGTCCAGAGTGTCAAGGTCACAGTCCCACCTGAAACCTAAAGTCTAACCTGTTTACAGATAAAGAATGGCCTCATTTATTCTGCTTAGGTCTGTGCAGCCAGTTAAAACAGAAGCACAAAAAAATCAATGTGTGGCCCAGAAGCGTGAAGAAATGGCCCAAAGCTTCTTATTTTTGCCCTACAAAAGTTCAAATAATAGCTCCACAGCTTCAAGCTTCAACCACACCTGAATCCTCCAAGGTTATGGAAGACATGCTGGCATTGATTTTCTCAAGATTCTGTGTGTGGGTGCCTGCATGACTCACCCAGAAGTGCATGTGTTCAAAGTGAACATTTGTGGACATCTGTTTTACTTTATGTAGCTCCTTTCTAATCGCGTACTTTTAGAAATACAGAAATACACAGGAGCTTTACGGAATAAGACTCTTGAGTTTCCTTTTTAAATGTATCCTCTTAAAGACCTTTTTTGCTCTGCATTGCGGTTATTGAAATTCTGGCGTACTAGACTGTAAATGTGCGACAGCAACTTTACAGCGAATGCTTCAGTGAGTCAATGCATATTCTGTAATGAAAATCTTCCATTCAGTAGCGATAATGCATCTCTCCAGTTTAATATAGTGCACTTGCCTGAACTTTAAAGACTAGTATAGAGCTTTAAACCTTCAGTGAGACATATATATTCTTATATAATTTCATGACAAGCATTGAATGACTTGACTCTTTCTATCACAGGAACATTCTCTTTGGGCTGAACAGACACACTTCTGGCTTTGCCATCTTGAAGGCCGCCGAGGAAGAACCCAAGCGCAGCGCTGTGAACCGGTCATTATCCCAGGTGTCTACCTCCATAAGCTCTGCTGAAATGCTCATCTGCAGCGGACTTGAACTCTTTGAGAATGACCCTGATGGCTCTCAATGAAACAGCCACACCTCACCAAAGCACTATACAACAACTCCAAACTCTTCAGGCTAACTTGATAATAGAGTGCGTAGAGCGTGATCTGCAGACCTGCCAAGCTTTGAGAAATACTGGATGGACCCAGGAACATGAGGCACATGTGGATTATGTCTGAACTCCCAAAGGTATTGGACATTTCAAGGTACGAAGTGTCTTGGGTATTGTAGGTCATTTTCCTGCGTCCAAACACGTATCTCAGCCGTAAGATTAATGGCAGAGATGGCAGAAAGTCAAACTGTATAACCTGCAGAGAAGGAGGATGCTGTCCTGGAGGGCAGGAGGACTTACAGAGGCACCAGCACGAACTGTGAGAATGACGTAGACTAGTTTAGTGTTTGTTTTAGTGTCTTAAGTGAATCAGCCTCATGAAAGGTGATGTTCAGTACTTTCCTAAATGTCCCAAAAGAGGGTTCTTTGGCGCGATGCCACAGAATATCCACTTTACACAAGTTGTGCAAGTGTGATGAACCTTTTTAAAGGTTTAACGTAAAGGTTCTGTACAATTTTCAAGCTTTTTTAGAACCTGACATCCAATCTGGGAACCGTTTAGGATCCTTTGTTTTTAAGATTGTATAGTACTGTGCAATAGTCAGTGACCTCCTTTGGTTATTTAATTACAAGTCACAACGGCCATTAAGTACAAGTTATTCATTTTTTAGCATCAGGAAAGAAGCATTAAATATATTTAAGAGAAAATTACACAGAAGCATCAACAACTAAATATAATATCTAATTTTCAGTACCTTGTCTGTCCACTTCCATTCTTTTCAGGAGACTTTCTTTCAGTTTTTCAAAGAAATCTGAAGGTATATTTTAGTTCACATCAGTCTTAGAAGTTGGTTGCGTTTTCTGCTTCTCACAATTCTAGTAATCCCAAACTCATTCAATGATGCTGAGGACTGGAGTCTGTCCAGTTTTGGTGTTCTAGTGCAAATTTTTTTTTCTCAGTAGCAGCTTATTGACAGCTACACCTCCTTTCAAACTCGTAGCGTTGACTTGTCTCCTCAGTGGCAGGATGGACAGAAACACCTGTGTTTTTTTCACATCTGAAGAAAGAGTTGAGCTTTTCTACTGTCTCTCAAAGATGAAAGCTTTAAGTACTGTTTATCTGATGCTGACAGTTCTGGTGGTCTAGCACATCTTGCATGGTTGTCTGCCTTGTGTTTATTTATTTTTATTTATTTTTTTCCATTTAATACCCTCAGAAATATCACTTTAGCTATTTCTCCAGTTTTGGAAACTATTTTTTTCCCTTTGACTTTCTTCTTCCTTGTGCAGGTGGATTATATCTAATCCCTTCAGAAATGTCTCCCAAAATGAATAACTCACGCTGAATGGCTGTTTTGACTGGACATTAAATGAAGGCTGGTCTCTGACCTCTGCACAGTGCAGTATGTGTTCTACAAGATAGTTTGTCTTCTCAGGCTGACTGAGAATTTGAACTCAGGAAAGGTTAACGAAGAATTCATATGCATTTTCAGCTTAACGAGAAGCACAGCGAGTATGCAGACATGACAAATAACGTAAATAAGCAGTTGGTGGATACACAGCTCTGAACAGAATGCTCTGGCTCAGCATCTTTAGTCTTGCTGTGCCTTACAATCAGTCATGGTGGAGCACGGCTTCATAACACAGGGAAGATTGATGACTGCTTGAGCTTAAAAAAATACTGTACAGTTCTGGCTGACTTGAAAGAAAATACCAACACTGTGCCAGTTTCCCAAGAGGATTATTTCAGAGACTGGAGTGAAGAGAAATGGTGAAAAAATCAGAGGGGTTAAACATCATCTCTTCTGCCCTTTGATGGATTGAATTACAGATTCTGTGTTGATCTCAAAAAAGTGATACTTTTTTCTTTTTGATACTTACGCTCTGAGGAAGCAGCCTGGGCTGGAGCTCATGTTTGAAAGAAACTGTGTATGTGCAGATAATACACAATCATCAGATGTTTTATTTGAAGTATTTGCTGCTTGACACTTGAGTTAAAGTCCTGTTACAAACATGATAGTTACTAAGAAGTTATTTGTGTGTTGGTTTGCATGTTAAAGAGGACGGATTTGTGTGCTTGATTTTAATGTAGAACTGTGTGAGTTGGGGTTGGTTTTCTGCGATCAGTAGTGTGTTATTTTACTGTTTTTTATTGCATTTGCACTATTGCTGTGTTTAAGTGATTTTTGAGGAGGAACTCTGGGTTTGGGAGCTGCAGATGTGGACAAACCTGCTTCACTCTTGATACTTGACTTGCCTTTCTAAGTATGATAAACAGGCCAATTAGGAAAAATCGATTCAGGGAATCCGGTTGGACTACAAGCTTTAAATTATTAATGTGCCTTCAATTGAATCAAATGCGCCGTTACAGCCAGAACTTGTAAGCAGTGTCAGTGTTGTATATTTCATGCATATTTTTGCAAGCACCAAAAATGTATGTGTGTATTTATTTGCAGCGTGATTCATTCATGCAGTTTAATATTGAATATCGATCGAATATGAATATGATATCGATCTGTAGCACTTACTCTTTGTTGTCATTAAATTAGTGAATACCTGGACATTAGCACAATCAGCAGGCTGTCCAATGAGGTCTCTTAATGTAGTTTAAGAGTACAAAAACAAAGCAAAAGAATAATTAAACAGTTGGTTCATTTATTTCCTAATGTAAAAGGCTAGTCTAGACCATTAATACCACTAATTAAAGGGGAATTCCACCATTTGCGTAATTCAATCATGAAGATATAAACAGTCATTCAGAGTGGATTGATGTAAAATGATCTGTTATACAGAAACCAAGTCAAAATTGTTATAGTAGTGGTGACAGTAACCAGATGCCTGAAGCATTTAATGCCTCTGAAAGCTCTCTCACAGATAGTTAGTGACAAATACATTGCCTGATATCTGAGACACTATTTTACGATAGTTTTGAGGTAAAGGTTTGGCCTAAATTGTATTTTTACACATCTACTTGTCAACATTTAGGGACACAGATATCTGAAGAACTTTAGGGACTCCCAAGTGGTGCAATTGTTTAAGCATTTACCACAACATCAGGAGGTTGTGAGTTTGAACCCCAGCAAAGCTGTCCATAACTGGGAGTCCAAAAATAAAAGATACCTGCCAGGATTGTGTGATGTAAATAATCCCAGTTAGTGGGGAATCTAAGTAAAAATATATTTCATATTGTTTATCTAACTACAAAAGTTAGTAGAACTATTGACTAAACTAAAAAGTGCCCTCAAGTTGAGTTAACTTGAGAAAAACTGTGTAATACTTTACCTTACAGTTTTAAATTAAGATGACTTTTCTCTTTTGTACAGTTTGGTGATGAGCTACATGCAGGGTGTGGTAAGGCAGGATATTCCCCCAAAAAGCTTATTTTTTCAGATATAACACTATTTTGTTAGATTTATTTATCAACATACAAAAAACAAAGAATATATGTATAGGCGTAGTTGGAGAGCTGATCATTTTGCTTAATAAATAATCGCCATATTTGCATTGTAGACATTGCGACCCCTGGGGCCGTATCACAGAAACATCCTAAATCTGACATATTATGTTTAGTTACCATGACAACTTCAGATAGGATTGTAACTATGTTATCAATTTTAGGCAACTGTGACAGGCAGTATGAGAAGTTCACTTTGAATAGCATAATAGTGTTCAATGTATTCAGATTTGTCATACATGAATAATGAGGAGACAGTTAAATGTGTGGCTGTTTATTAGGAGGAATAACATTAGCACAGCTCACACACTGCCAAAGGAAACTGAAACTTGAGCCAAATAACATGAGTTAAGACAGAGGTTGGTGACCCAAATGTTAAGAAGAGCCATTTTGTCCTTTCAACAAAAGTCTAACCTACTTGAGAGCCACAACATTTTATGTCCTTTTTACCATCTTGGCTGTAAATATGTCTCAGTATGTGCTAATGCACTAGTATAGGCTAAAAAATATAATGTTGATGAAAACGCAGACGTTCTGCTTTAACCTTTAGCTCAGCTATTGCAGCTTTTCTCACATCTCCAGCAGGAAACTTTTCCTCAAAAGTGGAATAATTTTTTGTAAAATGTCTCTCAGCATTTGACTATTTATGAGAAGTCAGCTTCTCATCTGCCAGCTTCTTCTTCGAATTTTTCCGTTCCACCTTAAACGGTGCCTGAGGCACCAGAATGTAACTGCTGCACTATTTAAGGTGGAACGGGAAAATTCGAACAAGAAGCTGGCGAATGAGAAATCTTTCTCTTTGCCTGTTAGCTACTAGCTAGCCAAGATTGTTGTCTGCTTTGCTGACCAGCAGTCTGCGCACCAATCCTCAGGGTCAAAAGTTGGTGAATTAACAGTTATACATTAACTCCAGTGTTTTAGACTATTTTTATTCCTAAAGCTGTGCTTACTGCAAAGGATGATTATTTTATTTTTACCTAAAACATCTAATTCTGCTGTGGAGCTGCAACAGGGCAGTAGAAGAGCCGCATGTTGGCGACCCCTGAGTTAAGGTAAGATGCTGTAAAATAATAACATATAATTCTTAAATCAAGATATTTGCTTCTGTAATATGTATTTCTTAAAAACAGGATGTTTCCTATCATCACCAATGTAAAGAAATTCACAGTGTACCAGCTCACATCAAACAACTCTGAATGCTTTGTTCACACCTCAGCCACTGAATTATGCAGACATTCGGAAAAATTGGTGGACTTCCCCTTTAATTAATCAACTGTACAGATGAACTGAATTTACTTCTTGTACTGTCAACATAATGCAGTTCACCTTTCAAAAGAAATAAACATTTGCACCTAAGCGTTGGTTCATATTAACTGCAGCTGACACACCTTCAAACTGCTCCATGTAATAAACGATCATCAGCCTGTGCTAAAGTGGTCTGAACTGGCAGCTTGTTCTGTTGCCTTTGGGCTTTCCCCCAACTGTCATGTAAATAAATGTGAATGCAAATAATTAAATCTAGATGCTGTTTGTGTTTCTCATAGCGGAGCATTGTTCCTGTTGTTTTAAAGTAACAGTAACCAGTTTTTTATTCATGTGTACAGTATTTATACAATGTTCTTTTATAGCATAATTAAAAGCCCATTGT